TGAAGTAAGACTGCATCATTCAGTTGAAGAGGGCTGGATTCAGTCCATGGTTTGCTAAGACTGAGGCAATGAATGGCAGAGGAAGGCACTGGTTTGTGTGTTCCCTTAGTAGTTTGTGTAGCAGTGTGAGATAGGGCAGGTAGGATATGAGGGGAGGAGGAGTAACTAGAAATTTTTGGTTGATTAAGAAAGGGTGCCCATATAGTAGCTCAAAGGGGCTAAGGCTTGAGGAGGCTATAAGGGCTGCCTGAATTTGGGTGAGGGCCAAGGGCAGGAGATTGGGCCAGGACAGCCTGAGTCCAATAGCAAGTTTAGTAAGATGACTTGAGAATGCTGTTAGCCCTGTCAACCTTACCAGAGGATTGGGGTTGGTAGTGTATGTGGAGCCTCCTAGTGTTGTTGATGTCTTTGGAGACTAGTTGAACAACCTCAGAAGTGAAGGCCAGAACATTCTCTCTTTGGATGAATGTGGGAAGTCCAAACCTGGAAATGATCTGCTCAATTAGAATGGAGGCAATGGTGTCAGCAGTTTCCCTAGAGGTAGGGAAGGCTTCTATCCAACTGTAGGAGAGTTCTAACCCCCAAGTCAGTTAAAACCTGTACAAGCAGTTAGAACCTGTGCCAAGGCTTGCCCAAGGAGGTGGGGACTATTCCTGAAACCTTGGGGTAGGACTGTCCATGTCAGTTGTTGAGACCTAAAGGATGGAGGGTCTTCCCATGTGAAGGCAAAGAGGTAATGAGAGTCAGGATGGAGAGGCACTGTAAAGAAGGCATCTTTAAGATCCAGAAAAGCTAAGTGAGTGGTCAAAGGCGGATATGAGAAAAAAGAAATTAAGGGTTGGGAACCACCAAGTGGATGGGAATGATGGGAATAACTGCTTCATTAATTATGTGGAGGTCCTGGACCAAGTGATAGGCTCCTGAGGGTTTGCATACCAGCAATATGGGAGTGTTGCATGGGGAGTCAGGAGGGATGAGGAGTCCCTTGGCAAATAACCAGTCCATGATGGGATTAAGTCCCTCCCCATGGGTTTTAGAGATGGGAAATTGGGGACACGAAGGAAATTTAGTTTGGGGTTTCAGCTGGATACAGACTGGCTTGTGGTGAGAGACTATGATGAACTTGGAGGTATCCCAGACTTGGGGATCGACTAGGTCAGGGGGCAATGGCATGTTAGATACTGTCAGGTTATTAGAGTAAGGATTAGAGGCAAAAGTAGATGTGAAGTAGTATTCTTGGGAATGTAGTTGGAGGGTGGCTCCTAGTAATTGGAGAACATCTCTGCCTAGGACAGGATGGAATGACCAGAAAAGAGTGTATGAAAGGGTGTCCCTCCAGGGAATAGGCCAGCTTAGCAGTTTACTTTGGTGAGGAGGGTTGCCATTAATCCCCATAACGGAGACCTGGGAAGAAAACAGAGGCCTAAAGTGAGCAGGCAAGACAGAATAGGTAGCCCCAATGCCCACAAGAAATATTATGAACTTACCCACTACCTGGAGCATTACCCTGAGCTCATTGAGGGTGATGGTGGTCCTTGAGTCTGGGCTTCTTCAGTCTTCTGTGAACACTTATAGTTCAAGAGAAGGGATTGCCTGACTGGTCATACCCCACATAGAGGCACTCAGGAAGGGCCATCCATGGGGCAGTTGCTCTTCCAATGTCCTGTGTGCTTACAGATGGGACATGGCCTGGGGTGGCACCATGGGTTTGGTCATTGGTGAGCCAGTGACCTTCACATCGATATTTGAAGCAAGCCCCTGGTGGAGAGGGATGCTGGTTCCCACGTGAAGATTTTGCTAGAGGAGTAGGCCTCAGGGCCGCTGCTAAACCCTGGGTTTGGAGTGCTGCCTTTTTCTTCAATTGAGCCTGCTTTAAAGGCCATTTCCACAAGATCTCGGATAGGGGTTGGAGGACCCTCCTCAGCTTGTTTGAGCGTTGGATTAGCTGGTAAGAAGGCCTGGTGGCACAGGGTGTGGACACTGACAGGAGAAGAGAAGAGTGAGTAGGTGGAGAAATCCATTGCAGAAGGAGAGGGAAGGACTTATCAGTAGAAGAGGTGGGTGGAGGAATCATGGCTGCAGAAGAGGAGGATGGAGGGGTGGGGGAGGTTCCTAGAGTGGGGGAGGAGGTTCTGTGACCTCCATATGTAAGGAAATTCTGCCCACTTCCCTATCTGGTGACAGAAATTGTTCAATTCAGTAAAGGATTAAAATCAATAGTTCCTTGTGGGGGCCATTGTGACCCATTGTCTAGGGGGCGAGGCCACAGTGCAGTAAAGACCAGGCAGTTAAAGCATTGGTCTGAGTCCTAACTTGTCAAAATTTGAATATAGACTTTCTTTTTTTTTTCTTTTTCTTAGAGAGAGAGAGAGAGAGAGAGAGAGAGAGAGAGAGAGACTTTTTTAATATTTATTTTTCAGTTTTCAGCAGACACAACCTATGTGATGCTGAGAATCGAACCCAGCGCCCCGGGCATCCCAGGCGAGTGCGTTACTGAGTCAGCCACATCCCCAGCCCCTGAATATAGACTTTCAAAACACTTTGGGGGTCTAAGGAAGATTCAATGTTTCCAATGACCTTCTGGCACCCTCAGGTATAGGTGGGATCAGAAAAAGGCATCCCAAATTCTGATTGCACTCACCTGAGGAATGTATAAGGGCCAGGCGGGGATTGAGGTATCCCTGCAACCCACTGGGGTCCCAAATGGATAGGAGTGGCTAGCCGGGGTACTGGGACACTTCCAAAGTTCCTGGGGCCTTAAACAGAATGGGTGGGAGTCTATGGCACACTCCTGACTTATGGATAGACCCCCTGTGGCCAGAGAGGGGCTGGAGGGTTGGCGAAATGAGGAAACTTACCCCACTCCTGGCAGCCCAGATGAAGGGAGAGGGAAAGAAGAAGCAGCTTAGGAATTTCCTGGTTTGTTTGAAGGGGGAGAGGGTGGACCTCATTCCCCAGATGTAAGGTATGGAAGAGGCCTGAAAATCTCCCCTGGGTTTCAGCACCAGATGCAAGGTCAGGCAGCAGCCACCTAAAGGAGGCAGATTTAAGGGCTGCTGAATGAGGCTTTATTGAGATTTTGCTTCTGGACAGGACCCTCAGACCAACAGGGTGAAAAGAGGATCTAAGGAGAAAAGCATGGGGCTCAACTGGACTGGAATTTTTAATGGGCTTAGGGCAGGAAGGAAGGGCTTGGGACAGGAAAAGGAGTTTTTAGAATCCCTTGTCCTACTTGGGTTGGTCAGAGAGCTGGCTATGATTCAGGATTGGCCAGGAGACCCCTCTGATTGACAGGCGTTCTGTCAGTGCCTGATGGTGTTTTTTTTTTTTTTTTTTTTTTTTTGCCTGCGCATTGATTGCTTGGTGTTTGGATCTGGAGCCACCTCAATTGACCTGACAGATTTTTAGCTCCCTTTGGTGAGAAAGTGACAAAATGTTTTTATGTTCAACATGTTTAACTTGTAAATAAACCATGCCTTCCTACTGACTTATAAAATACATTTATAAGTATTTATAAGCCAGTCCAGTGTAAAGAGTCACATGAAATGTTATACATGACTTATTGATAGCAGGTTATTTTTCTCTAATTACAAATTAAATAATATAAATAAGCCTCCAGCTAAATTTGTTTATTATTATTATTATTATTATTATTATTATTATTATTATTATTATTATTATTTTGTGTGTGGTGCTGAGGATTGAACCAAGGTTTGTTCATTGAAGGCAAGCACTCAAACAACTGATTTATATCCCCATCCCACAATCCATTATTTTTTTTTTAAGAGAGAGGAGAGAGAGAGAGAGAGAGAGAGAGAGAGAGAGAGAGAGAGAGAGAGAGAGAGAATTTTAATATTTATTTTTTAGTTATCGGCGGATACAACATCTTTGTTTTGTATGTGGTGATGAGGATCAAACCCGGGCCGCATGCATGCCAGGCGAGCACGCTACCACTTGAGCCACATCCCCAGCCCCAATCCATTATTTTTATATAAGTCTGAAAGAGACTATTGTTATAGAAAAATTTAGTTTGAAGAACATGAACTCAGTAAAATGTTTTTCTATACTTTATATCTTAAAGATTTTTATACTTGAAATATATGAATACATCAAGTATAAAAAAAGCCATTATATTATATTAACAAAGTTTAACTTTTAAAGGTAAATTCAGAATTTGTAGTGTAGTGTATTACTCTAAAATAACAGCTATTGTTTACCTAGAGTTGTATAAACCCTAAATTTCTTTAAGACAATTTCTCTAAATAATAAAACTAACTAGTCATGATATATTATCTTGTTGGATAAGAGCAATTTAATGTTTTAGGAATTCTTTTTTTAGTTTAATACATAGAGAATTAAACTTTGGTTTACATAAGTACATTAATATTTAGCCTTAAGAAAAAACCTTGAATAACTTTAACTTATAGTGTTAAGTAGCCAACTTAGTTACACAAAAACTTTTTGAATTTCACCCTCCACAAACCTTATGCAATTTACTTAGACATTCTACAGCTTTTTATATTATCACACAATTCTTTCTCACCCAGAAACATTTCTTTTTCCTTCTACTTTTTATATTAAAATACACTCCCTTACCTACAACTTTCTTATATCTCTTTTGTTGTTGTTCACCCCTTTTTAAAAAATTACATTCTGGGTCCTGGGGTTGTGGCTCAGTGGTAGAGTGCCTGGCTCACATGTGTGAGGTACTGGGTTTGATTCTAAGCACCACATACAAACAAAGATGTTGTGTCCGCTGAAAACTAAAAAATAAATATTAAAAATTCTCTCTCTCTAAAAAAATTTACATTCTAAAACAATCCTTATAAAATTTCTGAATTTAAACAAATTACTTACTTTAATAAGATGAAATACTTCATATTTTTAGTCCTTTACTTTAAACCCACCTGAAAACTTTTGTACTCTTTTTATATAAAATTATACCTGATAGAATATTAACTCTTAGTAACCTTTTTTTTGATAAAGACATAGAAAGAGAGAAATCTTAAACTTTTTTATTTACCAATTTATAAAAATACATTTTATGGTTGAATATATTACTTTATGGAATCTAAGAAGTCAAGAGTTCTTGATTTTTTTATTAGCAGTTAATGTGTTAGCATTTTAACTTTGCAAATTAATCAGGTGTCTCCTCTGGCAAGCACATTAATGCTATTGATGTTAAGTCTAATTTTTTTTAACTGTAAAATCAAAAATATCAGACAATTGTTACTAACAGTAATAGTTATTTTTTGTTATTGAAGAAAAATTCTAGAAATATTTTATAAAGTGATAGACCCAACCTGATCTTTTCTTAAAATTGGGCATCTCGCCACAAAACCATGAAAAGATAATTTCGGCCTTACTATAAATTACTGCAAATTCTGAACCTGCTTGGAATGCCTGTCTGTGCCTTGAACTCACCCATGCCTGGCTCTCTGACCAGATAGCAGCCCTCTCTGAAACTTAGTGACACCTCATAAATATTGGCCTTCCCTGGCCAGACAACGATCCTCTCTGAGGCTCTAATGGTCCTCATAAATTCTGATGTTGGGGCCAGCAAAAAATGTAAACTACCATTAGTGTGATGCTTGTCAGAGTTCTGTTATCTGTAACCCCCCTTTGTGTAACATTCTGGGCTATAAAGCTGGGCTGCAGGAAAGCTGGGGTGCTGTCTTGTTCCCGCCATTTTGGGAGGGAGAGGCAGCCCGGCCTGTTGAAATAATAAGCTTGTTTTAATTTGATTTGAATTGGAGTCAGTGGTCTTTTCTTGTGTCCTGGTCTAACAAAAGCCAAAATTGGACTTGACAAAGTGATTTGTGAAAAGTTGTTAGCATAGGTAGAAACCTGGCAATACAGCCTCCTCTTGTGGAAGTTAACAGGAGGAGCCATTTATCAGGATTCCCAGCTTCAGGCCTAGGTACAATTATTCCCTTTTTTTCTTCTTTCCAGTTTTGAAAAACATCTGGAAACAAAACAGACAGCATTTACTGATGATGAACATCACAGTTGCCACACAGGCCAGCAGGAACCCAATCACATCCAAAGAGTAGTACTGGAACCAGGAGAGGTCATGGGCAGCAACCCGGAGGTGTTTAGCTCCTTTGTGGCGCATGACAAACTCAATCCAGAAGACAGCTCGGTCCAGAGGCTTCACTGGCTGATCATGTTGAATTCTTGATAACTCCATAGCATTCTCTTTATATCTAAAGGTGAAACATAAAAGGATCAACATTGAAAGTAAGTTAATCTGTCTAAGCACATGAAGTCAATGAAAGTTTTTCACAAGTGCCATATAGATGATTTAAAATAAATATCATAGACTTTCCCTGCATATGGTGTATTTTTGTTTTTGTCACCATATTATGTTTGATTTTAATTGGAATGTTCTGATGTATAAATATCTCAAAAGTGCCTATGGAATTTCAGGGAGGTGAGAAAAATTCTTTCCATCAGAGAAAATAATTATAAATAATTCTGAGTCCAATGAGTGAGAGAGAAGGCATACAGTTTGTGAAAGATTACCTTGAAGCCTTTTAAAGAGGAATCATATGATGGTGTGCAGTGCTTCCTAACCATTCTCTGTTTCTTCTCTTCATTTCTACCTTCTATTGTCTCTTTTACAACTGGTAGCTAGAATGGTATTTTGAAAATATGCACATCTAATTATGAAGTTGTATGCTCAAAATTTTCATTTGACTTCTCATCACAAGTGGAATAAAATCCAAGTCTGCTATTGTACTAGTGGATTCTAATGGGTTAGACACTGACCATGTTTTCTGATATCATTTTTCCTTGCTTATTCTGTCTAGGCATATGTGTCTTATTTATTTTATTGTTAAAGCTTTCTAAAAAATTATATATAACATTAGAATACATTTTGACATAATTGCAAATCAATGGAATATAATTTGCTCTAATTCAGCCCCCAGAACACCCCCTTCCTCATACCCTCCCTCTACTTAACTCTTTCTATTCCACTGATCTTTCTTTAATTTATTTATAGTTTTTTTCAAATAAGTGTTTTTATATATACTTGATATTGGGATTCACTGTAATATATTCAGGTATGTACATATGAAAATTTGGTCAGATTCATTCTACTCTTCTTCCCTTTTCCTTTCCCTCATTCCTTGTCCTCAATCCCCTTTGTTTACTCTATTGATCTTTCCTCTATTTTGATAAAATTCTCTCTTCTTTTTTTTCTTTCTCCCCCTGCCCCCCATCCCATTCCCTGTTATTTTGGATTAACTTGTGTATATAAGGGACAACTTTTGACATTCTAGTTTTTGAGATTGATTCATTTCACTTGGCATGACAGTCTCCAGTTCCATCTCTTTTCTGGTTAATGCCATAATATCTTCCTTTATGACTAATACTCCATTATGAATATATATCACATTTTCTTTATCCATTCATCTGTTGAAGGGCACCTACATTGGTTTTATAACTTGCTTACTATGAACTGTGCTGCTATAATTATTGATGTGGTTGAATTCCTGTAGTATACTGATTTCAGATCTTTTGGATATATACTGAGGAGTGGGATAATCTATGGTGGTTTCATTTCTAGTTTTCAGTAGTTTAGGCTCATGTGCATTCTTCCTCTTCCCCAGTGTCACTAAATATGTTCTCCACTTGGCACCTTCATACTTTTAAACTTGTCTGGCTTTTCCTTGAGCATCCTTTCCTGCAACACCACAAGGCCTGCTTATATTTCATGGTTGAGGTCTTGGCCCTCATGTCACCCCTCAGAGGTGCTTTTCCTGACCATATTAGCATAGCAGCACTAGGCATTTTTCTATTATTTTGGTTGTTTTAAATGAATTTCTCTTTTATACCACATTATATTTTCTCTAATAATCCCCCCACAATACAAGATAAATGCACATATCCTAAGTGATCACCTGGAAATATCATAATTAACTTGAAGGTATGTGAAATGAGGACACTAATGTACCCACTAATTGGATCAATGACATAGGGTTTGCACATGATATGATCTGCCATTTAGAAGATCCTAAAGAATCCACTGGAAGACTTAGATCTGATGGTAAAATACAAATTCAGAAAAGTAATAGGATACAAATCATCACACAAAACTCAATAACTTGTCTAATACATAAACAGCAAACTCACTGAGAAAGAAATCAGAAATTTCTTTAGCAATAGTTCCAAAGATAAATAACTAGGAATAATCCTAATAGAAGAGGTGAAAGTCTTCTTTCATATTCCATAATAAAAATTATGGAATATGGAAGAAAAAATATACTATAATATGGAAAGATTTATTTGGTTCATAAATCAGCAGAATGAATACTGTTGAAATGGCCATCTGACTGAAACCAATCTACTGATTTTTGATAAAATTTCTGTCAACGTATTATATTTTGTCAGGAATTTTATTGGTTTCAGTCATTGTACTGTCATATGTAACTAATTAAAACAAAAAATATATATAAGTGAAAGTCCTCACAAAACTAAGAAAAACAATCATAAAATCCATATGGAAGTACAAAAGACTGAATAGTCAAAAAATTTGAGCAAAAGGAAAAAAGCTAGAAGTATCACAATATCCAATTTCATATAGCCTAGAGAGCCACAGTAATAAAAATAATATTGTAATTATAAAACAGATACAGACCAATGGAATACAATAGACTCAAGAAATAAACCCATAGAGTTATAACCATCTGATTCTTGAGAAAGGTGCCAAAAATGTATGCTGGAGAAATGATAGCCTTTTCTCAAAATGGTGCTGGTAAAACTGGATATCCACATGTAGAACTTTGCAATGTGATCCCTAACTCTGACCCTGAACAAGAATAAACACAAAATAGATCAATGACCTGAGTATAAGATCTAAAACATTGAAACTACACAAAGAAAGACTTCATGACATAGGAACAGGCAATGAGTTTTTCAAGAGAACTCCTATAATTCTGAAAGTTATAAGAAACATCAATAAATGGGACTGCACCAAATTAAAATGCTTCTGCATAGTAAAGAAAATAATCATCACAGTGAAGAAGCAGCCTACAGAATAGGATAAACATTTTGCCCTCTCCTCTTCAGACAGGATTAATATTCAAAATGTATAAGGAATTCAAAAGTCTTAATACCATAATATTCTCCAAATAAACCAGTAAATGAATAGGCCAATGAGCTGAACAGACATGTTATGGTTTGAATATAGTTACCCCCCAATAGCTCATGTGACATCACAGGAATATTTAAAGTGAGATAATTAGATGATGAGAGGTATAGTCTCATCAGTGGACTAATGTATTTGAATGGAAGTGATGTATTACTTTGTAGTAACTGTATCCAGGATGTGGCTGGAAGAAGTAGATCACTGGGGATGTGAACTTGGGGATTATATTTTGCCCCTGAGTCCCTATAACTCCCTTTCTCTGATTCCTGATTGCCATGAGCTGAGTAGCTTTCCTCTGCCATGATGTTCTGCTGTGATTTTCAACCTCATCTCGGCCCACAGTAATTGAGTTGGCTGATTGTGAACTGAATCTCTAAAACCATGATCCAAAATAAAGTTTTCCTCCTCTAAGTTAATTTTTTTCCTGTCAGGTATTTTTGTCACAGCAACAAAATCTGACTAATACAAATTATGAAAAAAATGTTCAACATCTTTAACCAGTAAGAACATGCAAAATAATACTACACTGAGATTCCATCTCAGCCCAGTAAGAATGACTATCATCAGGAATCCAAGTAACAATAACTGCTGGCAAAAGATTCAGGGAAAAAGAACCATTTATACACTGTTGGTGGAAATGGAAAGTAATGCATTCACTATAGACACGAGGGTAGAATTTCCTCAAAAAACTAAATATAGAACTAACATATAATGAAGGTATACTACTGTTGGGTATATACTGAAAGGAATTAAAGTTATCATAGTAGAGTGATGCCTGCATATTTACACTCTTCATGGCACATTCACAGTGGCTAGATTATAGAATCAGCCCAGATTTCCATCAACATATGAGTGGATAAAGAAAATGTGATATATATCACACACACACACACACACAGAATTATTTGAGCCATAAAGAATGAAATTATGTCATTTGTAGGAAAAGAGATGAAATTAGAAATTCTAATATTAAATGAAATAAATTAAAAAATCGGACAAATATTGTGTATTTTCCCTGATATATGGAATCTGGCAGGGTGATGTAATATATAAGTAACAGCAAGACTATTATACAAGAAGGAAAGGATCAGGAGAGGAGGGGGAGAGATTGTTAGGGTACTACAAAGTCTTCTAGGACATAATGTATTAACTGATATATTCATATTTAAGTCTGATGTTTTAATCTGTATTTTCTTTTCCATTTTTATGGCTCTTTTTCTATTCTTTCTTTACTTCTTTCAGAGTATTTTTATTATTCATTGTCCTACTATTTTCTTCTTGGAAATGTAATTTTGAACTTGTCCTTTAAGTGATACCTTCCTAAAATATAATATTCTGAAAGGAGAAATGAGAGCTGAATTGAAGATAGTCATTCTACTGAGATATAACTCCCATTTATCTTTGCAGTATGGAAAAGGTTAATAACTGAAGTTTTGTTTTATCAAATGTCATGTAGAAAATTTTATTGTACTTCAAAAGTTACCATAAATTTAAAAAGTCAACCATATGGAATGTTAGAAAAATACTTGAAATTCATATATCTGATGAGATAAAATATGGTGAAATATTATCATCAATAATTAAAATATAAATAACCTGATTAAAAATGAGTAAATAATTGGAACTGACATTTCTCTCAAGAATATAAGTGAATGACCAATAAGCACATAAAGCAATGCTCTTTAGCTATAATGGAAATGCAAGTCAAGACCACAGTGAGCTACAATCCTAGTCACTAGATTGGCTATAGTCAAAGAAACAGGTGATAAATGCTAATAATGATATGGAGAGATTGTAACTCTTATGTTGCTTGGATGCTGCAGAAAATTTTGCAACTAGTTTGTAAAACAGTTTGGAAGATCTTAATACATATAAAATTAACATATGACCCATCACTTCTATTAGGAATTATCAGAAGAAATGAATACTTATGTTTATACAAAGTTGTACCCATTGTTCATAATGATTGAAATTGAAAACAACAAAAATGTCCATAAACTGATGAATTGATAAATTACTGTGAATATGACATACCTATATTTGAAGCTGTCTACAACTCTGAAATCGTACTGATTAAACTGGTTTGAAATAAATAAGATTTAATATGGATTAAATCTTTTAAATTCTTTCAAAACTACCCTCCTAAAAAATGGGATAAAACTTATACTCATTGATGAGAAGACAATCCTACTATGAAAACTAACCAATGTCAAAGTTGTACTTACGAAGGGTCATTAATGACCATCCTCAAGGCCTTGAGAAGATCTGCACTTGTAAGTGTTCTGTAGTCCAATCTAATAGCTGCTCCCTTGGCCTTCACATGAGCAATGTTATCAGGTTGATCCGCAAACAAAGGAATGCCCACCATAGGGACACCATGGTAGACTGCCTCATAGACGCCATTGGTTCCACCATGAGTTATAAAAGCTTTTGTTTTTGGATGACCTAGGATTGAGTCAATGTCAGAAAAATTATTAATTAAAAATCTTAGAAATGAAATGAGAAATGTGTATTATAAGACATTAGAGGGAGCAGTGTATTTTAGATAATAGTTTATTGTAACCATTATCTTGCCCTGAATTATTATTATTTTTTCATATCTCAGAGGAACAAGCACCTATGTCCACTGGAGTGCTAAGTGAAAACTACATGAAAGAGGGAATATATGACTTGAGACTTGATAATTGAACACAAGATTGATAGGTAGTAAAAAAATAGAACATTTTTTGAGTAAAGGAATCAACATGTACTAATGAAAAATACAGTCATGAAGGACATGTTAGCACATTTTCTCATTAAGAAAAAACCCAAAAACTGAAGTCACTAAGTTTGCTATGTAGCATGTCCAAAGCAGCAGGAAGTAGAATGGTGATGGTACTGAAATCAGAGAAAAGAGAGACAACACTTCATTATGAAATGTGTTATCACTTCATAATAAAGATTGTGCATTCATTTCTATAGAAAATAAAGAATTGCTGTTAATTAAAAAAAAAAAAACTGGCAGTTACTTTCGAGTGGTATTTGAAATACTTCAGCAAGAGGGGAAAGAATGAGTGAAAGATGTAAACTAAGGGGCTAGGGTTGTGGCTCAGTGGTAGAGTGCTTGCCTTGTGTGTGTGAACTACTTGGTTTGATCCTCAGTACCACATAAAAAATAAACAAAGATATTGTACCCATCTACAATTAAAATATATATATATATTTTTTTTTTTAAATTTTTTTTATTGGTTGTTCAAAACATTATAAAGCTCTTGACATATCATATTTCATACATTAGATTCAAGTTGGTTATGAACTCCCAATTTTACCCCAAATACAGCTTGCAGTATCACATCGGTTACACATCCACATTTTTACATAATGCCCTATTAGTAACTGTTGTATTCTGCTACCTTTCCTATCCTCTACCATCCCCCCTCCCTCCCCTCCCATCTTCTCTCTCTACCCCATCCACTGTAATTCATATCTCTCCTTGTTTATCATAGAATTTGCAGGGAAATGGATGGCACTAGAGCAGATTATGCTTAGTGAAGCTAGCCAATCCCTAAAAAACAAATACCAAATGTCTTCTTTGATATAATGAGAGCAACTAAGAACAGAGCAGGGAGGAAGAGCAGGAAGAACAGATTAACATTAAACAGATACATGAGGTGGGATGGAAAGGGAGAGAAAAGGGAAATTGCATGGTAATGGAGGGAGACCCTCATTGTTATACAAAATTACATATAAGAGGTTGTGAGGGGAATGGGAAAAAATATATTTTTAAAAGAGATGTAAAACAAGACAGAGAGACAATCCAGGAACTGACTGAAAAATTCTTGCAGAGGTAATTGCACCAGAAATAAAGATAACTTGGATTCTGTATATAATAAAATTGAAGCTTTTTACTTTGCTTTTCCAAACCATCCATGGGTCTGGAAAATAATATTTTAAATGTTGAACATTGTGTTTGATTTTTTAAAAATAACAAGTATTCAATAAAATGTTTCCTGTTGAACTGTGAGCATCCAGATTGACTGTACTCACGTTTTCAGGATTTATCTCAGAGTCTTACCAAGAAGGTCATTCTGGGGGATCCATTCGTATATCTGAGTGTTGGGTCCTAATTTATCTGGCTTCTTGCCATTAAATCTCCATATGACCTGTTTGGTAAAGAAAGTATCTTATTCTATGATTTAAAGATTAAAGATATAATATGTTTGAATTCTAAAAATTTAAGAGATCATATAGTTCAATATTTCACACATAATGAAATGAATACAAACAATTTTAAACAATGAGAATTCCTAAAATCTAAAGTAAAAGTCCACATTTATTTATTTATTTATTTTCCACAGCTAGGGCCTGGTGGGTGGACAGGACCTGATGGGTCCAATCTCTAACAAAGGAAAAAGGCCCATGAAGGCTTTATTTATTTTTATTTATTTTTTTTTTTAATTTTTTATTGTTGGCTGTTCAAAACATTACATAGTTCTTGATATATCACATTTCACACTTTGATTCAAGTGGGTTATGAGCTCCCATTTTTACCCCATATACAGATTGCAGAATCACATCAGTTACACATCCATTGACTTACATATGCCATACTAGTGTCTGTTGTATTCTGCTGCCTTTCCTATCCTATACTATCCCCCCTCCCCTCCCCTCCCCTCCCCTCTTCTCTCTCTGCCCCCTCTACTGACATTCATTTGTATTATTTTTTTATTTGTATTATTTTTTATTTGTATTATTTTTCCCTTTCCCCTCACTTCCTCTTGTATGTACTTTTGTATACCTCTGAGGGTTTCCTTCCATTTCCATGCAATTTCCCTTCTCTCTCCCTTTCCCTCCCACCTCTCATCCCTGTTTAATGTTAATCTTCTTCTCATGCTCTTCGACCCTACTCTGTTCTTAGTTACTCTCCTTATATCAAAGAAGACATTTGGCATTTGTTTTTTAGGGATTGGCTAGCTTCACTTAGCATAATCTGCTCTAATGCCATCCATTTCCCTGCAAATTCTATGATTTTGTCATTTTTTAATGCAGAGTAATACTCCATTGTGTATAAATGCCACATTTTTTTTTATCCATTCATCTATTGAAGGGCATCTAGGTTGGTTCCACAGTCTTGCTATTGTGAATTGTGCTGCTATGAACATCAATGTAGCAGTGTCCCTGTAGCATGTTCTTTTTAGGTCTTTAGGGAATAGACCGAGAAGGGGAATAGCTGGGTCAAATGGTGGCTCCATTCCCAGCTTTCCAAGAAATCTCCATACTGCTTTCCAAATTGGCTGCACCAATTTGCAGTCCCACCAGCAATGTACAAGTGTACCCTTTTCCCCACATCCTCGCCAGCACTTGTTGTTGTTTGACTTCATAATGGCTGCCAATCTAACTGGAGTGAGATGGTATCTTAGGGTGGTTTTGATTTGCATTTCTCTGACTGCTAGAGATGGTGAGCATTTTTTCATGTACTTGTTGATTGATTGTATGTCCTCCTCTGAGAAGTGTCTGTTCAGGTCCTTGGCCCATTTGTTGATTGGGTTGTTTGTTCTCTTATTGTCTAATTTTTTGAGTTCTTTGTATACTCTGGATATTAGGGCTCTATCTGAAGTGTGAGGAGTAAAGATTTGTTCCCAGGATGTAGGCTCTATATTTACCTCTCCTATTGTTTCTTTTGCTGAGAAAAAACTTTTTAGTTTGAGTAAGTCCCATTTGTTGATTCTAGTTATTAACTTTTGTGCTATGGGTGTCCTATTGAGGAATTTGGAGCCCGACCCCACAGTATGTAGATCGTAGCCAAATTTTTCTTCTATCAGACGGCGTGTCTCTGATTTGATATCAAGCTCCTTGATCCATTTTGAATTCACTTTTGTGCATGGCGAGAGAAAGGGATTCAGTTTCATTTTGTTGCATATGGATTTCCAGTTTTCCCAGCACCATTTGTTGAAGATGCTATCCTTCCTCCATTGCATGCTTTTAGCCCCTTTATCAAATATAAGGTAGTTGTAGTTTTGGGGATTGGTTTCTGTGTCCTCTATTCTGTACCATTGGTCCACCCGCCTGTTTTGGTACCAGTACCATGCTGTTTTTTGTTACTATTGCTCTGTAGTATAGTTTGAAGTCTGGTATCGCTATACCGCCTGATTCACACTTCCTGCTTAGCATTGTTTTTGCTATTCTGGGTCGTTTATTTTTCCATATGAATTTCATGATTGCTTTCTCTATTTCTACAAGATTTGCCATTGGGATTTTGATTGGCATTGCATTAAACCTATAGAGAACTTTTGGTAATATCGCCATTTTGATGATGTTAGTTCTGCCTATCCATGAACAGGGTATATTTTTCCATCTTCTAAGATCTTCTTCTATTTCTCTCTTTAGGATTCTGTAGTTTTCATTGTATAAGTCTTTCACCTCTTTTGTTAGGTTGATTCCCAAGTATTTTATTTTTTTTTGAAGATATTTTGAATGGAGTGGTTGTCCTCATTTCCATTTCAGAGGATTTGTCGCTGATATACAGGAATGGCTTTGATTTATGCGTGTTGATTTTATATCCTGCCACTTTGCTGAATTCATTTATTAGCTCTAATAGTTTCTTTGTAGAGCCTTTTGGGTCTGCTAGGTATAGAATCATGTCATCTGCAAATAGTGATAATTTAAGTCTTCTTTTCCTATTTGTATGCCTTTAATTTCTTTCGTCTGTCTAATTGCTCTGGCCAGCGTTTCGAGAACTATGTTGAACAGAAGTGGTGAGAGAGGGCATCCCTGTCTTGTTTCAGATTTTAGAGGGAATGCCTTCAATTTTTCTCCATTCAGAATGATGCTAACCTGAGGCTTAGCATAGATTGCTTTTACAATATTGAGGTATGTTCCTGTTATCCCTAGTTTTTCTAGAGTTTTGAACATAAAGGGATGCTGTACTTTGTCGCATGCTTTTTCCGCATCTATCGAGATGATCATATGGTTCTTATTTTTAAGTCTATTGATGTGGTGAATAACATTTATTGATTTCCGTATATTGAACCAGCCTTGCATCCCAGGGATGAATCCTACTTGATCATGGTGCACAATTTTTTTGATATGTTTTTGTGTCTGATTCACCAGAATTTTATTGAGGATTTTTGCATCTAGGTTCATTAGAGATATTGGTCTGTAGTTTTCTTTCTTTGAAGTGTCTTTGTCTGGTTTAAGTATCAGGGTGATGTTGGCCTCGTAGAATGAATTTGGAAGTTCTCCCTCTTTTTCTATTTCCTGAAGTAGCTTGAAAAGTATTGGTATTAGTTCTTCTTTAAAGGTTTTGTAAAACTCTGCTGTATACCCATCCGGTCCTGGGTTTTTCTTAGTTGGTAGTATTTTGATGGTTTCTTCTATTTCCTCAATTGATATTGGTCTGTTTAGGTTGTCTTTATCCTCCTGACTCAATCTGGGCAGATCATATGACTTAAGAAATTTATCTATGCCTTCACTATCTTCTAATTTATTGGAGTATAAGGATTCAAAATAATTTTTGATTATCTTCTGTATATCTGAAGTGTCTGTTGTGATATTGCCTTTTTCATCCCATATGCTAGTAATTTGTGTTCTCTCTCTTCTTCTCTTCGCTAGCAGGGCTAAGGGTCTGTCGATTTTGTTTATTTTTTCAAAGAACCAACTTTTAGTTTTGTCAATTTTTTCAATTGTTTCTTTTGTTTCGATTTCATTAATTTCAGCTCTGATTTTAATTATTTCTTGCCTTCTACTTCTTTTGCTGTTGTTTTGCTCTTCTTTTTCAGGGATTTTGAGATGAAGTATGAGATCATTTATTTGTTGTTTTTTTTCTTTTTTTAAGGAATGAACTCCAAGCAATGAATTTTCCTCTTAGAACTGCTTTCAATGTGTCCCATAGATTCCGATATGTTGTGTCTGTGTTTTCATTTATCTCTAAGAATTTTTTAATTTCCTCCTTGATGTCTTCAATAACCCATTGATCATTCAGTAACCCATTGTTCATTCTCCAAGTGATGTATTCTTTTTCCTTCCTTCTTTTATTGTTGATTTTCAGTTCCATTCCATTATGATCAGATAGGATGCATGGTATTATCTCTACTCCTTTATATTGTCTAAGAGTTGCCCTGTGACATAATATATGATCTATTTTTGAGAAGGATCCATGTGCTGCTGAGAAAAAAGTGTAACTCCTTGATGTTGGGTGGTACATTCTATATATGTCAATTAAGTCTAGGTTATTAATTGTGTTATTGAGTTCTATAGTTTCCTTATTCAACTTTTGTTTGGAAGATCTGTCCAGTGGCGAGAGAGGTGTGTTGAAGTCTCCCATGATTATTGTATGGTGGTCTATTAGACTCTTGAACTTGAGAAGAGTTTGTTTGATGAACATAGCTGCACCATTGTTTGGGGCATATATATTTATGATTGTTATGTCTTGTTGGTATATGGTTCCCTTAAGCAGTATGTAGTGTCCCTCTTTATCCCTTTTGATTAACTTTGGCTTGAAATCTATTTTATTTGATATGAGTATGGACACTCCTGCTTGTTTCCTAAGTCCATATGAGTGATATGATTTTTCCCAACCTTTCACCTTCAGCCTATGTATGTCTTTTCCTATCAAATGCGTCTCCTGTAGGCAGCATATTGTTGGGTCTTGTTTTGTGATCCATTCTACTAGCCTGTGTCTCTTGATTGGTGAGTTTAAGCCATTAACATTTAGGGTTATTATTGAGATATGGGTTGTTCTTCCAGCCATATATGTTTATTTCTGTTACTAAACATGGTTTGTTTTCCTCTTTGATTATTTTTCCCCCCTTTACTGTCCTACCTCCCACTGTTGGTTTTCATTGTTATTTTCCATTTCCTCTTCCTGTAATGTTTTGCCGAGGATGTTTTGAAGAGATGGTTTTCTAGCTGCATATTCTTTTAACTTTTGTTTATCTGGAAGGTTTTAATTTCATCTTCCATCCTGAAGCTTAATTTCGCTGGAAACACAATTCTTGGTTGGAACCCATTTTCTTTCAGTGTTTGAAATATGTTATTCCAGGATCTTCTAGCTTTCACAGTCTGTGTTGAAAGATCAGCTGTTATCCTGATTGGCTTACCCCTAAATGTGATCTGCTTCCTTTCTCTTGTAGCTTTTAAAACTCTCTCCTTATTCTGTATGTTGGGCATCTTCATTATAATGTGTCTAGGTGTGGGTCTCTTATGATTTTGCACATTCGGGGTCCTGTAGGCTTCTAGGATTTGGGATTCTGTCTCATTCTTCAAGTCTGGGAAGTTTTCTTGTATTATTTCATTGAATAGATTGCTCATTCCTTTGGTTTGAAACTCCGTCCCTTCCTGTATCCCAATGACTGTTAAATTTGGTCTCTTGATGTTATCCCATATTTCTTGGATGTTCTGCTTATGGTTTCTTAACAGTCTTGCTGAGCTGTCTATGTTCTTTTCCAGTTGAAATACTTTATCTTCATTGTCTGATGTTCTATCTTCTAAGTGTTCTACTCTGCTGGTAGTATTCTCAATTGAGTTTTTAAGTTGGTTTATTGCTTCCTGCATTTCTAGGATTTCTGTTTGTTTGTTTTTTATAACCTCTATCTCCCTGTATAATTGATCTTTTGCTTCTTGGATTTGTTTATGTAATTCATTGTTGAAGTGATCTTTCATTGTCTGATTTTGCTGTCTGATGTCTTCCTTGAGACTCCAGATCATCTGAAGCATGTATATCCTGAATTCTTTATCTGACATTCCATCTGCTGCAGCTATTACCTCTTCTAAAGTTGAGTTGACCTGCATTGCTTGTGGTCCTTTCTTTCCTTGTCTCTTCATACTGTTCGCGTTCCTTTCTACTTGGTGAAACTGTTGTGCTATTGAATTTTCCCCCTATATATTTATATTGGTCTTGTATAGTTGCAAAGTCTCCCTCGCAGGCGTGGGCGGCGGCTCTGCCCCTCCTCCAATTGGGGCAATGTGCCTACCACGCCGGCAGGCCACTGGGCCTGCTCTGCCGGTCGGTAGCAGGTCCGCCTACCTTGCAGGTGCGGGCGGCGGCTCTGTCCCTCTGCGGGCCGCTAGGCTTGTTCTGTTGGTGTTCGCAGTTCTGCCTACTTTGCAGGTGCAGGCAGCGGCACTGGCCCTCTGCAGGCCTCTGGGGCTGTTCTGCCAGTGGGTCGCAGGTCCGCCTACCTTGCAGGCGTGGGGGGGGGGCGGCTCTACCCTTCCTCAGGCCACTGGGCCTGTTCTGTCTGTCGGTTGCAGGTCTGACCTGTTCTGATGGTGGTCACAGTTCCGTCTACCTTGCAGGCGCAGGGGGAGGGGGCGGCTCTGCCTCGCAGCAGGCCGCTGCTCCTCTTCTGCCGGTGGGTTGCAGGCCCGCCTACCTTGCAGGAGTGATTGGAAGCTCTGCCCCTCCGCGGGCCACTGGGCCTTTTCTGTCGGTGGTCACAGTTCCACCTACCTGGCAGGCGCGGGGGGTTGGGGGGTGGCTCTGCCCCTCAGCAGGCCGCTGGGCCTGTTCTGTGGGTGGTCACAGTTCCGTCTACCTTGCCGGTGCAGGGGGAGGGGGCGGCTCTGCCTCTCAGCAGGCCCTCTTCTGCCGGTGGGTCGCAGGCCCGCCTACCTTGCAGGAGTGATTGGAAGCTCTGTCCCACCGCGGGCCACTCCACATTTATTTTGTTTAATGTATTTTACCCTAGCTTTCATTTTTAAAATTAATATTATCAGGTTTGTTTCTTTTGAGTGACATAGATTGGACATTACATATATTCATTAGTTCTTTAAGGTACTTATTTCAGTTTGGCATTTTGTTTTTTTAATACACAAAAGCAAAACAATACAGTCAGTTACTTGTGAGAAATAAATGAATTCTAATGAGGAGTTACATGTAACTTGTTTTAGTTGGCATTTTACTAAGCAGTAACTACAAGAAGCATTTCACTGGCACATGTGAACTGTAACCCACACTTTATCAATTTAACCTATACTTTTATCAATATTGGTGGATATTAGCTTATTAGCAATTTGTAAATAATTACATGGGTTTTGAAATAAAGTGCAAAATTTTGATGTCACTAGATTTTTAAAAACTGTTTGTTATTTAATGATGTACTACAAAGTCTTGGTGGTAGTCTCATACAGATTCAAGATATTTTTATGCCTAAAACCAAAACAAGGAGTTGACTTTGGAAATTGAAAGCAGACTTCATGAACTGGAGTATACTTTCTACGTGCTTAATTTCTATATGCAATGTGAATAGCAAAGTAACTTTAGTTCTGCAGAAAAGAAAAACGCTTGGGTGATTAAGAGAAGACTATATCAGATAGAAAACTACAAAGTAAATGGCTATCACCCAAAGACCACAAGAGCATTCTGTATGTAGAAAATGTGGTATTAAAGCATTTTATGGAGCTGCATCTCCTGAATTCCACCCCATGCTAGGCTTGCTTCTGCTTAACTCTTCCTTAGACTGTCTTGTTTCTCCTTCAAAGGTGTTAATCTGATATTTTAGAAGCAAAGTTCTTTGGGGCACATTTAATAATGCACAGGGTCCACTTTGAGGGAGGGCTAATCTCTACACATATTAAAATATTTTCCTTCCTCAGACATTATCTGTTAGTGCAAGCTGTTTTTTGTTTGTTTGTTTGTTTTTCTGCAAATACATGTGACTGAGTGTGAATTTAGAGTCAGGGTTTAAGGCTTGTTCAACTCTGGGTAGCCTTTCTCCTCAAAACTCCAGGAACAGTTCATTAAGGAAACCTATTTTTTTATGGGAGTATTTTGAACTCATAGTTTCCGAGGTTCAGCACACGTTTGGCATACTCCAATGTTCTGGGCCAGAGATGAGGTGGAATATGATTCCAAGAAGCTTATTCTTAAGGAAGGAACAAGGGATTGCATAAGATATCTAAAATCATGGTAAAACTTAGCCTTTTCCAATACCTGATTAATATTATTGTGGTGGTCCAGTTATGAGTTAACTTTTTATAGCTTTCTGATAACGTTTGCTGTGTATATGGTGCCCTCAGGAATCCTGCACGGAAAAGGAAGAAGTGGCAGGGAAGAATGTAGTATCTGTGTAAATGGTGTGATACCCTTAGAATTAAAATCTCACAGTGAATCTGTGAAAAAAAAATATAAAAGAATGTATATATAAAATGTATATATATGTATATATCATGAATTATATATACCATGATAGGTTTTTTTTTTTAAGAAAGGATGCATCTTTAATTAAATCCTTTGTAAATTTTATAAAGTTTAACAGACTTTTTCATACTTATACATTAAGAGGGCACTATCTCTTACCTTTTGTGGAATCTGTGCAAGAGCAAATGCAATCATATTGGCTTTCTCTTCTGGCATGTTAGAAACCATTGTCCCCAGAGAAAACACCACAATACCATTTTCTCCAGAACTCTGTACAAATTCTTCCATTTCCTGTGAATAAATCATTTGCTCCATTAAAAAAGTTTAACATGATGGAATAGAAGATGGCAGATTAGAGGAAGGCTGCCTTCTTAATTCCTCCAAGGATCAAAATACAAGTAGTGAGAATACTGCTTCTTAGTGAGGTAGGTGAAAGAAGGATTTCACTAAAATTCAGTACTGGACAATCAGAGTTATCTCAGAGACTCAGAAGTTTGGGTTCATTAAACAAAGAAGACTACATTGAAACCAAAGTATTTATGGTAGTGGCTGTACTAGTAGTAATGGTGCTGTCTACCACAGAGAAAGGAAAACACAGAGAAAAAAAACACAATGGACATATTTGATATGAAAAAACCTGAGATCAGAAAAGCAGCCTGAACTTAGCTGATCCAGAGGATGCACTGTACACTGATGATTGAAAAATTATGTTTCTTTACTAGGTGGGGAGAGATGAGGTGGAGTAATCTTGAAGTGGCCATACTTCAGCTGCTGCTAGTACTGGGAGATCAGAGCAAACACTGCTGCAATGCCTACTGTGTGGCCTAGTGAGTACCTAGTTAAATGGAAGGGAAACAGGCACAGAGAAGATTTTACTCCAGGGGAATCAAGTCAAAAAAGCAAAGTGGGAGCACAACTTACTTTTCCTTTGAGACTGGTGGTTCATGTGACCAGGTGAAGTGGGTAGAGAATCTGAAAATGCAGGTGTAGAAATACTCAGAGCCTAAGCCTGGGAGATCTATATTGGTGGACCTCAGAATAAATGGAGGATGAGCTCCCCTGCTGTTATGGGATAATTTGAAAATTAAGTCAGGCTGACTGCATTTTGCTCAGACATCTCACCCTGTGCAGAACTGGTCCCCCTTTCTGCATGAGCCCACTCACACAGAGCTGACATCTCTACCCTCACCCACTTGCACACTGACCACATGTATTTAAACTCTGGAACTAATGCAAGTTTGCTTCCTGATTATGTATAAAAAGGTGCCGATTCTGAGAACTTGGTGCTTTCCACTTTATGAATTGTGTCCTATGATTGTACTTGCCTCTTCCACCCCCATTATTTGTGTTTTTTGTGTTTTTAAGCTGTCCTTCCTCCCCTGCCACCAGTGTTCAGTGTCTTGGGCCATAGAACTGTCTGCTTTCTTCTCCCTTGGCCCTGGCCAAAACATATCCTTCGTCTTTCCTTCAAAAAACCCAGAGTTTTATTTGGGATTTTGGAATAGCATCTTAACACAGCCAAATGAATAGAATTCTTGGGAGGCTGCTGAGATTCAGACTCCCTACAGAGATCAGCAACTGCCAGGCCCTAGGTGTGTGTCCCATTTACTCTCTTCAGATCAGACTTCCAACAAAGCCCTTGAGCTCTGATTAGACCTAAGCCTCATCCATCAGGACTCCCCTCATACAACACCACAGCTTGGTGTGCATAGATCTGTCTGTGTAGGCAAAGCTCCAACTAACAGTTCTTCCCATTCCATCCTATGTCATACTGGTAAGAAGGAAAGCTGTCACTTGTTTAAAACAGCTACAGCCTTAGGCAACTCCAACTGGTACCTCAGAGACAAACACAAGGAGAAAGAGGATAACAAATTCCATCCCTTGCTCTGGCTCTTCTTACATAGCTTAAGAAGAAATGGAAAGAAAGATAGTTGGGCATAGTCGGTGATCATCCATTCTTGCTGACTATTTTGACCACTTCAGTTGAAATTATTTTTTCATTTATCATTAAGAATATTTTTACTTTTTCTTATTTTCTCTCTCTCTCTCCCTCTGTGTGTGTGTGTGTGTGTGTGTGTGTGTGTGTGTGTGTGTGTGTTCTTCCAGTGGTTCATGGACATATATCTACATTTTTTTTCTTAGCATTTTTTAAAAATGTAGTTATTTCCTTTGCCTTGTCTTTTGAGGGTTAGGATTTTTGATCTGTATATTTTTGTTCATTTTGTATTGTTTTTATTTGTTCGTTTCTCTTCCTCTCTTTTCTTCTCCTGCTGATAGCCAAAATCTATTTTCTTTTTCTCTCTTCCTTTACTTTTTCTTTTTTCTCCTCCATCCTCATAACTGTCACCTGCCACACTTCTGCTGCATTCTCTCTGTTCACTTTTGAAAATTGCAAACCCTTTTCTTCCTTCCTATCATGTTTCATTTCCTCTTAACTGTATTTTTCATCATCTTTTAGAACTAATTGTTTTATATAAGTCCTGTTTCCACCATTAACACTCTTGAAATTATTACTTATGTGGATGACATCCTTGATACCTGTTTCTTGTTTTAATGCTGTATCTAGTATGGTTATACACCATTTTGTTATTGTTGATGTTGTTATTGGCAATTGCTGACCCCACCATTTCTGTGTTTTTTTTTTTTTTTTGGTAGCAATTGGCATTGTAGAAGTCATAGTAGAATCCAACTATTTATTTTAATGCTGTTTATTGTTTGTATAATTTGTTTCTATTGTTTGATTCCACCTATTCTGTAACTGGATATCTATAGTGTTACTACAAGTACAGGGTAGAGAAGTCTCCAGCTAAAATAAATTCAGCCAAAATACAGTTTACCTTCCTCCACATACAAATTAATGAAACTCAATCTCTGTCTATACTTTAATACAAAGATAAAAACACAAACTATTTATAAAGCCACCTTAAGTAGAAACAGCTGGGGGTGGGCTTTTAGCTTCCACCTATGGAAATCCATTGCCACAGCAAAATCAGAAAGAATTAATGCAAAGCCTATGAATACCACATTTACAAGAGTGCCTCAATCCAGATCATTCTAGGACATGTTGGAAAGTAAAGACAATGCCCTATATAGAGTGAAAGAAATATCCCCATCTAAAAGATATATAAAATTCAACACAGGTCTATAACAAATATGTAAAAGCAAGGTAATATTAAACCACATAAAGTTTATAATTCACCAACAACTGACCCCAAAGATATTTTAATAAATAAAATATCAGATAAAGAATTTTAAAACTTACTATAAAAATGATCAATGAATTCCTAGAGAACACAGAAAAACAATTGAATGAACTAAGGATGTTATTATAGAATATAAATGAAAAATTAAATAAGAAATATTGAAAGAGAACCAAATGTGACTCTTGGAAATGAAAGACAAAATAAATAAAATGTTCAGTTTGAAATCTCTATAATACAGTAGACAATGCTGAAGACAGAATCTGAGATATAAAAGAAAAAATGGTCAGCCTTGAACATATAGGCAATTTTAAAGTAAAGAAAATATGTAACCATGACCAGAACATACAAGAATATTGGGAAAACATTAAGAGATTAAATTTAAGAACCATTGGAATTGAGGAGGATTGTGAAAGGCAGGATAAGAGAAATTGATAGCCTCTTTAGGAAAATAATAACAGAAAATTTTTCAAACTTTGAGAATAAGACAGATACCCAGATACAGAAGGATATATCCAGATATAGAACCCCAAATACACAGGATAGATAAAGAAACTTTCTACAACACATTATAATTAAAATGCCTAACATACAGTGTGGTGAGCCGCTTCTGCCGTTTCTGCAGACTATGGTCGCCATTACAAGATGACGCTGGCTCCGCTGTGGTCTGTGACAAACAACTCCTTATCTGGGAAAGTTGGCACATAATTTTTCACCACCCTGTGAGAAAGCTCCACGTGGCAGCTTTGCATTGGGGCTTGGGATGCTTTATTAAGGCTGGGAGGGGCATCCGAGAGAGAGAAGAAGAAGAAATATCAAGGGCCTGAATAAACTGCTGAAAGAAGATTCCTGAGTTGCGTCTTCCTTGCGGGCAAGGGGTCGCGACAAGTGGCGCCGAGACCCGGGAACCAGAACTTTCAACAGTCAGGGGTGGTGCACCGGTTAGTCCCAGGTAAGTGGGATCCGCGATCAAAGCGGGGTTAGTCCCTAGTAAGTGGGATCCGTGACCAAAGCGGGACAGCTCCTCTGTAATGAAAGAGAGAGCCTTACATTTTATTGCAGCTGCACTGTGTACTTTCGCTTCTACTTTCGCTTTCTTTTTTTTGTGCTTCCTTTGTTGTTGTGTCATGGGTGCCGCATCTTCAAGTCCGCTTCTCCTGGCCCTAGATGGCCTGTTACGTTCCAAGGGACTGGAAGTGAAACATAGTACTTTACAGAGATTTTTACAGAAGATAGATATCGCTGCACCGTGGTTTGCATTTTCGGGCAGCCTTACTGTGCCTAGTTGGGATAAATTAGGCAAAGATCTTGACTTTGCTTCTGAGCAGGGCATATTAGAGGGTGGGGTGATACCCCTTTGGAAAATGGTCCGTGGTTGCCTTACAGATGGTAAATGCCAGGAAGCTGTGAGTGAGGGTCAAGCTATTCTTGAGCAACTGCATGAGGAAAAATCTGAAGGATCATGTAGTGGAGTGGCAGAGAGTATTAAAAGTAACAGTAGTGAGAAGGCAAAAGAGCCTGAAGATAAAAATAGGAGAAGGCTCTACCCAGACTTGACCGAATTAAAAACGCCTGAGAACACAAGCAACTCAGAGAGTTCTGAGGACCTTGATATATTGTTACAACAACTACATAAGATAAAAATGAAAAAGAAGAAAAAGGAGACACAGGGCACACAGGCCTACTGTAAGAAGGGGAAGGGAGTTAACATCGGTCAACAAAACTCTGAGGAGGAGGAGGTAGAATATCTAGAAGAAGATATGGTGCCGATTGCCCCACCTCCGTATGTGGGGGGGAGCCAAGGTTCCGGGAGATCTTTTCATGCACAAGTTTGGAGGACAGTTAATACAGATATGGGACTTGCATACCCTGTATTTCAGGACAATAACAGGGGAAGATATCATGAGCCTTTAGACTTTAAGATAATTAAAACCTTGGCAGAATCTGTCCGCACTTATGGCATAGATGCCGCTTTCACTCTCACTCAGGTGGAGGGACTTACTAGATTTTGCATGACTCCCTCAGATTGGGCTAGTCTAGTCCGCGCTTGTGTTTCCCCAGGGAAATATTAGGAGTCCAAAGTTGGCTGTT